CTCCGCAGACTTCTCTGCGGCAGCCTCCTCGGCCAGCTCGGCCTGCGGAGAAGAGAACGGGAGCACATGCTCATACGCAGAAGCAGAGAGGCAGCGAGAGACAGAGGAAGTAACCATGGATGGTGATACGACACGGGGCGGCACATCGTGACACAACTAGACCAAGAACGTGGATGCAAATGAATGGGTCGAAGAGGTGGAGGTCGGAAAATATGGAGCGAAAGAGGAATCAGGAAAGAGAGAAGGCACGGGAAAGGGAGGGACGGGAGGAGATAGGAAGGGAGAGGAGGGGAGGGTGCGGCAGAAGGGGGAGGGGACAGGGGATACTGCAGGGGAAACGGGAGGAGCATGAAAACTTGGAGAGGCGGCAGGCCTGGGAGGCCACTGCAGACGGTGGGAGGAAGAAGAAGTGGCAGTACGGAGAGGGGGGGACGTGACGGACGCAACGAATATCGCCGAACCCGGCAACTCCGAATCTCCTGCGGGGACCTTGAACTCCGCTCCTGGAAGGCCCTTTGTTGAATGTCGCTGCCTTCCACCACGCCCTCGCCAACAAAGCCTCCTCCCTCACTGGCTTCCGCACAAGAGGGGGGGTAAACGCCGACCCTTGCGTCCGCGACGAAAGGGGACACTCCCTCCGCCCACTCGTGAAGAGGGTTTCGCCAGAGACGCCCCAAATAGGAGGGGAAACATGGGGAGGGGTAGGGGATGGGTCCATGGCCGCAAGGTGCCAGCCTGCTCATCATCCCTCTTGCCTCCTCCCCCTCCTCCGCGCTCCACCTTCGCCTCCTTGTGTCCTTTTCCATCGGCATCCACACCTCCTCGTGCTTTTTCCCCTCCACCCCCGCACCCTTCCCCTCCTCCTAGTCAAACCCCTGCTCCTGCTGCTTCTCCTCCTCCTCCTCCTCCTCCTCCTCCTCCTCCTCCTCCTCCTCCACTCCCTTCCTCCTCCCACCTTCTCCTCAGCCCTCCTCTTAATCCATGCCGTTATCCTCCCTGCACCTTCTCCCCCCTCCTCTCCCCCCTCCTCCTCCTCCTCCTCCTCCTCCTCCTCCTCCCCCTTCTCATCCTCCCCTTCCCTCCTCCTCCATTTCCTCCTTCCTCCTCATCCTTCCCCCTCCTCCTTCGCTCCCCTCTTCCTTCCTCCTTCCTCCCATCCTCTCTCCTCCTCCTCCTCTGCTCCTCCTCCTCCTCCTCCTTTCCTCCTCCTCCTCCTCCTCCTCTTCTTCTTCCTTCGCCCCTCCCCCCTCCTCATTCCTGCCTCCTCCTCCGCCCTCCCTCCTCGGACGCCGACGGCGCGACGACGACCGGCCACAACGACGGCCACGACGACCGCGGCGGCCCGTGACTCCTGCGGCTCCCCGGGCTCGCCGGCCGCGGGGCCGGCCGCGGCGGGCGCGGGCTCCTCCCGTGCCAGTCCCGTCGGCAGCAGGGGGGGACAAGTTAAGGGGGGGAAGCGGGAGGGGGTCCAGTCCTCTAAGCCTCCAAGCCTCCATGCGTCCTCGTGCTCCTCGTGCTCCTCCTGCTCCCCCTGCTCCTCCTTATCCTCCTGCTCCTCCTGCTCCTTATCCTCCTCCTCCTCCTCGTCCTCCTCCTCCTCCTCCTCCTCCTCTATCTCCTCCCCTGGATTCCCCTCGGGTCGTGCAACAATCGTGACAGAGTTGATGTTGAACTCTCACTTCTGAAAAGAATGATTGTTGATCCCCCCCGCCCAGTGCACATTATCAGAGTGAGGGGGCTGAACCGAACGGTCATTCACTGTCCCTGGGTGCGTGGCTGAAGTGGACTTCCGCGATGCGGATTGTTGTTGTTGCTGTTGTTGCTGTTGTTGTTGTTGTTGAACATTATTACTTCTAAAGAATAATTATTGTTGGGACCCCTGGTGCATGGCCCCCCCGCCGCGCCTAGGCCGCAGCCACGTTTTCATCATTTTCGTGAGGAAGTCTCAGGCAAAACGGGTTGGTCCGGATCCGGTTGTTTTGTTACGGGCGGTTTTCCCTTGCAAAAATAAGCTAAAGTTGACATTTCTTGTTCTAACATAACCAAACTTCAAGAATCCCTTGCAAAAAAAAGGTAAAGTGGACATTCGCGCGCGCAAGACGAAATCCTTCCAAAACCTTTAGTTTTCGTAAGCGATTTTAACATAAAAACATCAAAAAACCAATGTTTTTTTTTCCAAAAAAAAATGTCAAAATTTCATCCCGCGCGCTCTTGCGGATTCGTAGGAAACCCAACACTTTTTAAACATTTCTGTCAAACGGGCTTTTGCGAGCAACTTTTTCAAACTTCTGCAACAACGGTTGCGCACCTGCCAGGGCCATCATCCCTGTCAAATAATACCATGCGGGACACATTCGTTTTTTCTTCGCGCGCGCACGCCGTCGTCGTCGGCCGCGGGGCCCTGAATAGTAGCCACGGTCGTCCGCATGCCACGAAGTGAAGTGTCCGAACGTCATAGGGCGGGAAGCTGGGTGTGGGTGGTGGCGAAGAGTCGTTTGGAAATTTGGTAGAGCTTGAACCGGCCCCCCCACAAAGTGGGGGTATTGCCCGCCTCCTATGAAAACCCTGGCACTGGTGAGAACGGAGTGTCCCCACGTGCTAGTAATTGTTGTTGTTGTTGTTGTTGTTGTTGTTGTTGTTGTTGTTGTTGTTGTTGTTGTTATTTTTGTTGTTGTTGTTGTTGTTATTGTTGTTGATGTTGATGTTGTTGTTGTTGTTGTTGTTGTTGTTGTTGTTGTTGTTGTGTGTTGTGTGTTGTTTCTTGTTGTGGGTTGTTTGTTGTTGTCGTCGTCCCAGCCGCGACCCGCCCCGCGACCCACCCGCGACCCACCCCGCGACCCACCCGCGACCCACCCGCGACCCACCCCGCGACTCACCTGCGACCCACCCCGCGACCCACCCGCGACCCACCCGCGACCCACCCGCGACCCACCCCGCGACCCACCCAAAATGTTCGGCGCCTGCGGCGGGCTTCTTTCGAATTCGTTCCAAATGGAGAACCTGCGACCCACCCGCGACCCAAACCGCGCCGCCCAGTGTACAAATCAAAATTTTCGGCGCCTGCGGCGGGCTGTTGTTGAATTCCTTCCAGGTGGAAGTGGAGAGCCCGCGGAGGGGGCGAAGTCGTCGTCGTCGTCGTCGTCATTGACGCGCCTAACATGTTTCGATGTCTTTCGCGTTCTCGCCTTTCTGGGCTTCCGACGCTGCAAGACGGCCCAGGAAGTCCCCAAGATCGCCCCAAGACGGCCCAAGACGGCCCCAGAGGTCCTCAAAAAGACCCAAAAGCACCCCAAGACGGCCCCAAGACAACCAAAAAGGCCACCAAGACTGCCCAAGAGGGCCCCAATAGGCCCCCAATAGGGGGAACACCAACCGACATTTCGCGCGCGCCTTTCGTCCAAAAAAGGCCCCCAGGAGACCCCAATAGGCGCCCAAGAAGCCCCCGAGAGGCACGCAAGAGGCCCAAGAGGGCCCCAAGAGCACCCCCAAGAGCACCCCCAATATGACCCCAAGAGGCCAAAGCGTCGTCCTCGTCGTCGTCGTCGTCGTCACCCTTCATGGTCTGTAGCACTGGCAGCAAGGTCTTCGCAATCTCCCCCAAAACTCTCCAAAGGCCATCCAGGAGGTTTCTGAGAAGTCTCCCTGCACCCACCGGCCGCTCCAGCAGTGCCAGGTTTCCAAGAGGTCCCAAAAGTTATCATAATCCCAGAAGGCTCCTAGGACGTTCAGAAATGGGCGGCGGATTGGGCGAACGCCTGAATAATTCGTGGAGGCGGCAGAAGCAAGGCTGGACCAGAGCAGAGAGCGACAGAGAGAGAGAGAGACAGAGACAGAGAGAGAGAGAGAAAGAACGAAAGAGACAGAGAGATAAAGAGATATAGAGATGATCTGTTTGAATGGTCGGCGCAACTGTGAGACCGAACGTCGTCTCTACTATGGTGCAAACTGTGGCTTACTCGTTATTGTAGAACTGGCGCTCCCGTTCTTGCTCCGCTTTCAAAAAACCCTCGACAATGCCGACCTGCGCCTTCACGGCACCGTCCGTATGCCTCTCGACGAAGCCGCGGAGTTCCCGCAGCGAGTTCAGGCAGAGGTGCTTCAGATAGTCGTCGTGGAGGAGCTGCACTAGCCAGCCCATCCTGTCGAGCACGTCCAGTACGCGGGAGGAGAAAACAGCGACGTGTGCATAAACTTTCGAAGCTCCGCGCGGAATATTTCTTGGATCGGCGCTGGGGGCCCCTGCGGGGCCTCGGGCGCCGCCCCTGACGCTCCCTGCGCGCCAGGGAGGGTGACCCAATGCCGATGCAAGAAATAATCCGCGAGGAGCTCCGAAAGTTTATGTTTGTGCGGATGTTCTTCCTCGGGTATGCTCTTGTCGAGGGCCCCCTGAATGAAGCAGTCGGTGGCCCTCCACTCGCCGTAGCCCCTGCTCTTGATGGAGTCCACTGGGGCGGGCGTCATGTCGAACACCACGCGCGGCTGGTCTGCTCTCGCGTCGTGTGCGATGTGGTCGACGATCAGGGCTGCCAGAGCCACGGGGACAGTACGACTTGCCCCTCCCACCCCCCCAGGGAGAGGGGGGGGGTGATACAGGAGGGTGTGGGAGGGGGAGGATGGGCGAGGACGCGGTGCCGAGGAGGGAAGGGGGAGGAGGGGCAGGACAGCGGGAAAATGAGGGGAATTGACAAGAATGAAGAGGAGTCCAGGAGGAGGAGGGGGACGAGGGAGGAATGAGGAGGGAGGAGAAGGAGAAGGAGAAGGAGAAGGAGAAGGAGAAGGAGAAGGAGGAGGAGGAGGAGGAGGAGGAGGAGAAGTGAGCAGGAGGGTGAGCATGACTCTGGAGGAGGAGCGAGAAGTGGGAGGGAGCAACAGGAGGAGGAGGAAAGGGAAGAGATGAGGAGGATGCCGGATCTCTCTGAGTGCTCCCGCCCGTGGCATCTGGGCGCCCTGAGATGGTGAGTCCCGACAACGAGGTTCCCATCACCTGCGCGGCCCACTCCTCCTCCTCGTCCCCCTCTCGTCCTCCTCTTCCTCCTCGTCGTTCCCCTCTCGGCCTCCGCCACCCTTCTCACGATACTCCTCGTCCACCATCTCTCGCGATCCTGCCAGTCTCGACCATCCTCGTCCTCCTGCTGGAATTTCTCGTGCCCGTCGTCGTCGTCGTCGTTACCGTCGTCGTTGTCGTCGTCGTCGTCGTCCTTCCACCAAGGTTGTCAGGCCTGGCATCGAGGCTCCTATGATATCACCCGCGGGGGGCCGAGAGAGAACGCCTCCCCCTGTTTCTCAGAATCATCATCTACGCCTTCTCCTCCTCCTCCTGCTCCTCCTCTTCCTCCTCCCACTCAGCTTTCCCCTCCGCCTCCATCTCCGCCTCCTCCCGCGTCCTCTTCCTCCGCCTCCACTAGTCATCTTCGCCTCCTCCTTCGCCTTCTCCTTTGCCTCCTCCTAATCATCGCCGCCCCCTCCTTGTCCGCATTCCTGTTCATTTCTCATCACGAGCGCGGGCTCACGAATTTTCTCGAGGGGGGGAGGATGGGAAGGAGAAAGACAGGACCACGGAAGATGGTTGATGATGGGTAGTAAGGGTCTAAGAAGCCAGCCATGACGACCGTGGAGAAAGCAGGAGTAGATCAGAGGGACACTATAATTAAACAGGACGAGCGAAGAGGAGAGACGAGGAAGCGGACGGTGATTCGAGTCTAGCCGCCAACACTACCACGGCATCCGGGCACCGCTGGGGTGACCATTGAACCGGCCGCCGCAGAACTTGGGTCAAGACCAATAGCAACACAGGATACGGAGGTCAATCCATCAATTGACTCAATTTGGTCATAACATCGACGTCATTTGCAGAGGATGGCGGTCAACATGCAATTATCGCCAGACTGGCATGTGCCATGACGTTGCGTCCATGCTCTGGCGAACACGGCTGGGTGACCCGCTCCACGCAACCATCTATGGAATTGACCTTCCATCTGCTGCAAGTGGAAAGAGTTCACCCGTCACTGGATCAGCTCAAGCACATAACTTACCACCAAAATGCACATGTCTCATTCACATGCAAGCGGATCTGGACGCCCGAAATGGGCACGGAACAAATGGACACAATGCCCAACAACAAATGTTGTCCCAAACCAACAGCGGCCGCTGTTGGGCAGGCGGCCTTGTGTCACACATGTACACAGGCCGCGGCGACACCGACAGCGAGTCCTGTTCAAAACGAGCAGGAACCGCTGTTGGGCGTTGTGCCCATTCTTTCCGTACCCCTTTCGTCCGTGCCGAGCGGACGGCTGGCAGACGTCCGGCGGCACAGCGGCAGGCCGGCGCCCGAGACCATGATAGGGGCCTCGGGGGCCTCGGCCCGTGGAGTCTGAAGACGTCCCGGGGGGTCCTGGGGCCGACAAG